ATTGGCTTAAGATGCTTAAGTAGATTTATGGCTCTTAAAATGGCTTATGCCATATAAAACTCTCTTGGAGTGGGGAGAGGAGCCTGACTGTTGCTGCCTGATTGGGATCTACCTGGGAAGGATGGGGGTGGTGGAAGACCACCTGGCTGGAAGTCTTTGCCCCAGACACACTTACTGGAAGGCCTCTTATCAATCTTGCCTCTTAGCAGACTTCAAAAGTTGAAATTTAAACCAGGTATAGGCTGAGAAGGCAATTGAATCTCCACAGGCAACCTTGAAATAAGAGATTGAATCTTTTTGCTGTGCCCCCACAGAGCAAGTGCTTCTTGCACCTCTTCCCCCTCTTTATCAACAAAGTCCTCCCATCATTTTCCCCCATTTTCTTTTGCTTGCTTGATTAAGTGCTGGAGTCATGATAGCCTGGCCAAAAGTATGAGCTGTGGTGCACAAGTTTTGCAGCTCCAGGTATAATCAGGACACAAACACAGGATGTTCAGTGTGGTGAAGGTGCCTGTGTAACAGCAGAACTCAGAGCAGATCTTGTGGATTGGTTATTTGGATAGCTTTGTCCAAAATGTTGTTTAGATCATGTCCTAGGGTAGCTTCTGCATTCCTCCAATCCTGAGGCATGAGTGGTAGCCTTTCCTGAGTTTAACTGTTTGTATTAAACACTACTGAACACATAGCTCAGTTTCTTCAAAGCCCAGAGGTGGTACTCATTCATACTTCATCAGGAAACTTCATCCTACTTTCTGCAGGGAAAGAGGGATATAATGTTTCCATGTATAAATAAACTATTATTCTGCTAGACCTATCTGTGGGAAAAGCTGCTTCTCCACAAGGGTACCATAGCATCCTATCCTTGCTCAGCTGCCATCGAGGTAGAAGTGCTTCAATACTATATTGCATTGCTCAAGTTGTTGCTGGAGCCTTAGGTTAAGGTGGAAGCTGCAGAGCTGGGTAGCAGGTGCTAGCTGAAGAAAGAACCGTGCCTGAGACTAAGCAGGCAAATATCTGGTGAACGTTGTTTGCTCAACTCAACAGCTCTTCTAGCTGTGGAGGGAGTTCCCTTCCTTATGATTCATGAGGTGCACAATCTGTACTGACTGTTAATGCTAAATGGTTACCTGGGAAAGCTTTAAGTACACTCTGTAACCTTAGCAGGAGATTACACCTCTGTAACCTTAAGAGGAGATTATAACATGGTTAGTGGCAGGAATTGTGATGGCAATGCTTTGCTGAGGCTTGCCAAGCCTTCCTCAGACACTTTGTGACATTCAGTTGAACTTGTCAGTGATTGATTCAAGCATCCTTGACAGAAGGTATCTACCTTTGTGCCAGTCTCTCAGACACCAACTTCTAAAATGCCATAGATTACTTTAGTACTAAACTCTAAGTTACCCTGAGGTGTTAAGGGCAAATGAATGCTTGTTCTGGAACGGCAAAATCTTTGGTTTTAATCTCTTGCATAGTAAGCAAAAAACCACTGCTACTTGGCTCTGGAACAGCTCCTTCCTTAGCCTTCAAGATCATTGCAGGTACTGCCTTGCAGCTAGTATCTGCAGTAACAGCCAAGGTACACAGTAAAACTGGATTTGCAATGCATGGCAAAGAACAGAGATACTTGAGGATTCATGGTTAATTGCTCTAAGCCATGTAAGAGAAGCCTAAACTTAAACTTCAGCACTGAAATGTGTGTGTCTTGCCTGGGAAGGCAGCATCCATCTATTAGGGTATGGCTCTGCAGCCTCAGTTCCACCTCCAACCAGCTGCATGCGCTCTGAATTATTGTGAAGGAGAGAAAGCCCATCCAGCAGGATATTTTGGTCATGGGAGGGCCCTTTAGAAAGGCCTCATAATGTGCCTGTTTTCATAGTGTACAGAATTCTCAATTGCTGTGACTGTCAAAAGCTACTAAACTGGTCAGAAGGCTTCACACTGCAGAGAAAAACCTTGCTGTTTGGTTCTGTGCAGCTGCTGTATGTCATCCCCATCCTGCTTTGTTTCCTTAGGCCATCACTTGAATTTAGAAAATCCCTTGGAGAGAGATTCATTCCTCCTCCAAATGCATCACAGTGAGCAGAACCTATCTTCTTTAGACTGGCTCTGGGCAGTATGGGGGAGTGCTGCCTTCCTCTGCCCTGAATCCCTGGATGTGCTAAGGAACTTCTGGGGAAGAAGCAGATAAAATGATTGTTATGGCTGGCAGGGGATCTCTTACAACTAGAGATTGTCTTCCCTGAAGTGGATGAGTTAGGAATGACAGCCTAGAAGTTGTCCTACAGTAGATTTGGAAGGGTGAACTGCAATCCTTTCTCTTTATAGAGAGATTGACTTACACTTCAGTTTGAAGACCATCAAATTTCCCTAAGTGATGAGGAAGGAAGCTTGTTCAGCAAAACAGCTTCCTTCATCTCCAGGTAGGATTTGTACCTGAGAGAAGTGAGGAGCAACACTCCTGTAAACTCCAGCAGGTAAGAGAGCAGGAGGCTGATATGTTTAGGTGATGTGTTTGGTAGGTGCTGTATCAACCCATCTGTATGGCCCCTATAATTGAGCAAAGAGAGGAACTTGAAGTAAGGAGCACTTGCATGGTGTTCCTCTCTTGGCAGTGACCTTAGAACTGTAATATTTCTAAAAACTAGAGATTGTCTTGGGTGACTTCTGGGCTTGTGCTCAGGCTATGCATAAAGAGGAACAAAAGCAGAATTCAGCCTCTCAGATTTGCAATTCAGCAAATCTTCCCTGTAAGCCAAATGTATGTTCCAGCAATGGGCCACATCCTGTATGTGTCTGTGACTACACTGAAGAGGTGTTGAAGAGTTTGGCCCATACAGGTTTCTGTCAGTAGGTGTGGCAGGCCAGGTCAGTGGTTGAGACAGGCAATCCAGATGTCTCTAGGGGCATGAAACCAACTTGTGCACTACAAAGATATAGGAGGAGTACCAGATTTTTTTGAATGGTTGCTAATGGGTAAATCTGAATGTAGGGAATTTCCTGTAAAACAAGAATGTAATGTTTCCTTCAGGAAATGGCTAGGAAATGGTGTTCTTGATTGTTAGCAGGGATCAACAGATTTTCATAAGGGGTTCTTTTTCCTAGAATAGCTACTTGCAGTTGTAGCCCACTAGCACTGACCAGTGCTAAAGGGAGTGATTATCTAGGGTTAGGAAAAAGTCCTAAGGTGTAGCCTCCCCTTCTCTCTCTCGCTCTCTGTGTTGGAAGAGTGATGGTAGAAAACACCCAGCTCTTTGTGTGCCACATCTGATAACTTGTCATTTTGCCTAACCCAGTTAGCACAACTGCTGCCTGATCCTTTTGCACAGAAGGCAGCCCTGAGTGCTGAGTTATACAAGGGAAAGCTGCAAAGCACAATCTGTAGCTGTTCATATTAACAAACTTGGTTAATAGAGTATCTAATTACTGTAGTTGTGTTACAGTTCTCTGCTGCCTCTGGATGCTTTAATCTGTGACCAGATGAACTTTGCAGTAGTTCTGGCAGATGTCACAGCCACGTGTCAGAAATGCAGGGGGGCATTCTATTTTCTTCTTTTCAGTGGGTTTAGAAAATAGCAGACTTGTGTTTTTCAGGCTCCAGCACTCTCATTGTTATGAGCCTGCAGGTACTCTGCACCTGCAGAAGTGAATGTAGGTCTTTAGCTGAAAGGATCTGCTTTTTAATTAGCTGGAAGGTCTGTTCCTGTGGCAACTGACTGATTGCAGTGGAAATGGGAAGTTAAAATTCTAGAAGGTGTGTGCTTTCTTCTCATATGCCCTGGGATTACTTTGCCTTGGACTTGACTTTGGAATGCTGCAAGGCTCCTTCACTTGCCTGGAATCTGATCAGCTCCGTCCTTACTGTGCAGGAAAAGATTAACTCCCATTTGATTGTGCTCCTCTATGTGCAGGCTGCAGTGAGGATCCCAGGTGAAGGTGTGGGGTTTGGGAGGAAATTGTTGCTCAATTCTGAAGGTGATCTACATTGCTAATAGCCTTGTGTTTTCAGTGAAAGAAACTGACCTTGAAATAAAAATAAAACAATGTAGTGAAGTGCTGCAAAACTCTGCTGAGTGCCTCTTTTAGGTAAGAAGCATTTCTACTTCCCAGAGTTGAATCTTAAAGGCCTGGCATGAAGTCAGATGACTTATGTAAGTTGATCTTTCTTTATGAGTGTGTCAAAACATAAATACATTTCGGGCAATGCAATACTGCTGTTACTGGCTGCTCTAAACAATGCTGGTTGAAGCACCAAGGACATAAGACAGTGTACTTCATAAATATTTAACAACCCCCTCCCCCAAACAAAACCCCCTCAGACCCAGATATGTTTAGCCTCACAAGCAAAAGTCATAATGCACATTAGAAGGCTCATCAATAAACCTAGGTGGTGTTTATAGGCCAGCCTTCAGAGAGGAGTGGTGTGATACCTGGGCAGCAGAGACTGAGTTCTCTCTAGTGGTTATTACACTGATGGAAGCAGCTGGAGAAATAGCTATGCACACAGAATTTTCCATTAATCAGAGGAAAAAGTCCAACACAGATGGTATATAGGATAGATTACGGCTGGTAATCCTTTTGTGTCCTAGAAGATTAAGGATATCCTGGTGTAGCTGTAGTCAGCTGACCTTTTTTTATTTAAACGATTGAACACAGTTGATGCAGTTCTGCAGAGGACCAAGGCTGTTCCAGAAGCCGTGAGTGGTGCACTGTGAATGTTTGTTAAAGGAACGGTCTGTTTAAGTCCAGCCTCAGTTACAAATTTACAGGAACTTAACTTTGTGCCATGTAAACAGCAGCAGCTCCAGGATGGCTAAGAAATCCCTTGCTAGACAGCTCTATCACATGTAGCAGAGCTGAATTCTGTGAGGAGGCACAGGGAGTGTCATGTGGAGGAATGGAGGGTTTCTGAATGCTGCTGTCTGGGTCGCCCCAGAGAGCGAAGATGAATGCTTCAGTGGAAGAGGAGGATGGCTGCACGCACTGAACTGTCTGGGTCTGGCATGGATCTGTATGAGGATTACAAATCACCCTTCGATTTCAATGCTGGAGTGAACAGAAATTATCTTTACTTGTCGCCTGGCATAAACCTTTCTCCACCTGGATCACCTACCCTGGCAAAGTCTGGTAACTTCCTTCTCTTCCTTCCTTAAAATCTCTATGTGAAACGCTTAGTAGTTAATACCTGTAAAACTTCTCAAATTAAAAATCTATAAAAGTTGGCCTGCTGTTAATTCTGGGAGTATGTTATCTTCAGTGTGTCATGTAGATAATATCTCATGTGTTATAAGTTTATCAGCTTTACATTATTTGTTATTTATTCAGCAGAAAGGCAGTTTGAGGGAAAATGAAGTGGCAAAACCAGTTAGGAACAAAACTGCAAGACTGGAATAATTTGCCTGGTTTAACTATTAGATTTTTTTCAGGGGAGGAAGTAGAAATTGCATTTTTAGTAGGACTTCGGAGCTCTGGATAGTCTAAAATCTGCTTTTGCCTTAATACTGAAAATCTCACTGATTAATGAAAATGCCCTCTAAAACCTTTACTCCATTCCACCTAGCATTTAAAATGCTGCAAACCTTCCACCTGCAGATAGGAACTGCACTGGGATTGCCCTGTGCTGTGCTGCAGTGGCATCCATTTAGTGCTTAACCCTCTGAGTTTCTTGCTGGTAGCCTGTTGTACAGAGCACCTATTGCTGTGCCTCCCAATACATCCTAGTCTGGTTTTACTGTCGTCATTCCTTTCCATTCCTTGCTGCCAGATGAAATCTTCCAAAGTAATTTTAAATGTAGAAAGCTTAGACCTACTTCACGTGTGGCAAAGCAAATGGGGGTTACACACGTGTTAACTTTTTTTTAATGGGCTTGTTATTTAAAATTTTAAAGAAACGTGCATCTCTTGGGGAACCTCTGTGTGAACTTTAACAACCCTCTCTGTGAACCTGATGAGCCAGGGGCTACTGGGAAACAGTGGTCAGCATTCACTTCTGCAATTACTGCTTCTCCCAGCTCTTCTAATGGGGAGGGGAAGCAGCCCTCAGTGTCAGGTGATGATGCATCACCATTACCACTGCCTTTTCTGGACTTTATTTTCTTTTTCATTTGCTTTGAATGAATATCTAATCAGCATTTGGGAGAAGCTCAAGAATTTTCTCGCCCAGGTTGAAGAAGTACGTCTCACTTTGGCTTCTTCACGGAGATAAACAGGAAGCACTTAAATCTGATCTTTCTTATATACTGCAGAGTAAATATGCTCTGCAGTACTGTATGTTACTCAAATGTTAGAGTGGTCTTAAAACTTTGCCACAGCTTGTTCTCCTGAACTATAACAAGCACCTTTTTTCTTTAGCTTTGCCAACTGTATAGTGATAACCACAATGCTCATTCTGAGTGTCACATGCAGAACATGCCAGTGTGAAAAAACACTTTATGGAGGTTAACCCACTCCCACCCCGAGGCTGCTCATCCAAAATGAAAAGTACTTCATAAAACTGCTCCTGTTTGCTGCTGATCTCTGAATTCAGGCCAGGGAGGTAGGGATTTCTGGTCAAAATGGAGCATGAACTTGGATTGAAACTGGCCAAAGCAAACCCCAAATCAGAAGAAACGTAGGGTTAATTGAATTGCTCTAACGCTTTGCCTACCCTGGCAGAATTTAAGTCCCATAATAGGGACTTAAATGCCATTTCCCTGAACGTGATCCATGGAGTCCTAATCAACTAACTTGCTCATGTCTTTCTTTATTTGGTTCATTTAAGTAGATCTAATAAACTGCTGGGAAAATATGTTAATCTTAGAAATACATACCTAAAAACTGACCTTAAAGCTAGGTAAATTTTCTCTTACTGTCTAATCTTTATGATTTTTTCCTCCCAAACAGATTTTTTATTCTGTTTGAGAGACATGAAATGTTCAGTTAAACTTGGTTGTAACAGAGTACCAAATGACTGAATTTTAAGTTCTTCACAATCCAATGATGCGGGAGAACTAACATAATGAAAGGTAACATCTTGAAAGCTGCAGTAATAATTTTTCATAGCAATATAAAATAATAATAGTAACAGTTCTGTTGGCAAAAAAAGCCCACAAGTGAGAATTGCTCTCTTAGTAGTAGTTTGAGCCAAAGCATTTCCATCTGTTGGCTGATTGCTGATTTCCTGGTTTCTTGCCCCATAGAAAGATCTAAGGTGGGCTGTGCATGTTTCCTGATGAAGTTTTTTCAAAGCCATGCTCTTACTGGCTGTCAGCCCTAGTTTCTGGGATACATTTGGATTGTAGGCACACCATTGTGGAGGTCTGTGGGTTGTTAGCTGTGTAGAAACTGCTCCTTGGTCAGATTGCTCAGCACAGCCTAGCCCATAGCATGGATGATCCCTGTGTCCTGCAGGTATTGAAGTGATGAATGGGAGCAAAGGGAACAGAGGGGTGAGCAGTGACAGGAGAGAGAGCAGGGGTGTCAGAGTGAAGATTGATGGGAAGGTGTCAGTATTGTTCATATGAAGCTCAGAAAAGTAATAAATGGGAGGGGCTGCGAAGGCAAGAAGAGGAAGGCATGGTCACTGGTGCAGGGTGAGGTGTGGAGGACTCTGAATAGCATGATTTCCTGTTTCCCTAACAACTGTAGGAATGTAAAGGGAGGAGAGATCATTCCCTTGCTTCTTAACATTGTGCCTTAAATTCTATTTGGTAGCCAAGAAGCAGAACAGTCTTAAAAATGAGTTTTCCAAAGAGAAGCTACATTCCCCAAATGGAAGCTGTTGCTGCAGGAGACAATCTGGCATGTTTTCTTACTGGTTGATTCACTGGATCTATTTTTGGTGATTTAATCCAGATGACTCCTCATAATCAGATTGAACAGACTTTCAGCTGGTTGTGCTAATGCTCGTGGAGTCAGGGTGGTTTTGGTACTTGCAAACTTTCTGGAATGGCTTTGTGATGGCAAGCAGGTGGTCCCTGAAGGGCTGCAGGTAAGAGCAAGGTCAGGAGTCACAGTAGAACACACTGAGGGGGTGTAGGGTGTTCAAATGCAGTTCAAATTGTTTTCCTTCAGGGTAGGTTTATGTAATTAATAGGTTAAATAGCAATTTAACAAAAAGGTGTGGCATTCTTAACTGTTAAGGAAATATGTTGATGCATAAAACAAAAGTTATCTGATTGTGAGACATAATCCTTTATTTTAGGTGCGATAGGGCTGTGCTTTAGTTTGGGCATTAGACTTTGAAGTTCTCACTGCCCTAGATTTTTGACAGAAAATAGTGTATTGGAAAACCCATAGGACCTACATTATGTTTGTGTAGAAGACACATGTAAATCTCTGGAAAAACGTGCACAGATCTCAAGAATAAATGCAGAATTAGGTTTAATTTTCTTCCTGTAGGCTTTCTTCTCAGTGCATTTGGTAGTAACAGCATTCACAAAAAGTCCTGTCCATGTAGCAGTGTGCTTCTAGAGGATAAGGGTTTTGGACACAGATACAGACAGACAACATACCATTTTGGAAAGAATTTGTGGGATTGAGTTTTACCTGAGTTCAGTAATTTGATCCAAGAACAAGGTTTCTTCTTTGTTTGGCTTAACAGCTGCTAGAACTGTATTTCATAGAATGTGTACAGCTAATTAGAGACTCACAGAATCTTTTTTTCCCCTGATTTTTCAGTTGATTGTGATGTAGGTGTTTGATATGAAACCTCACAGCAAAATCATAGTGGTGATTAATGAGTTTTTGATTCCCAAAGGATAGTATGGAGTGCCATCAGAAGCTGCTGAAATGAGAATGGAATTTTATTGGCATATTATTTATGGTTAATTTCTATAGTGATTAATAGGAAATGTTACTTAATGCCTCTTCAATTTAGATCAATGATATATTTAAGTGCATATACACACACGCTCACATATGTATGTATGTATATGTACACATGCACACGCTCTTCCTCGCTCCTTATTAACAGACAATCCTGGTCCTTTCCTCTTCTATTTTAAGACTTTTATTTATCTTTTTTTATTTATCTTTTTTATCTTTTTTTAAAATTATCTGTAAGGCTGCTTTATCTCTTGAATAGAGAATTCTGGGAATCCACAACCATTCCAGCATGCGGTCTCCCTGCAAACTGGTCTCTTTGCAATTAGAAAAGAGTTCCTTGATTTTGGCAAACTTTAAGTGTCAGCTACAAAGACTCAAAATGGGAAGACGTTTGCTGGAAATTTTGTTGCATAAAAGGTGTTTAAAATGGTCTTACTGCAAGCACTAAGGAGTAAAAAAAATTAATAATTACAGTTATTGCATCGTAGTAATACAAATATCATCCTCCTTCCTTGCCCTGAAGCTGTGAAAGCAAAAGTTGAGGAAGACCGTGGAGATGTTTGTGGTTTATGTAGGAAAATTAGGCAGAGTTTTGGTTTCTGGATTTGGAAGAGGCAGCAGTTTAAGTGAATGCACATTCTTATCAGTCTCTCTCTCCTGCTTTGAAGCAACAGCCTTTCATTCTCGAGCTCTGTCTCTGGACTTCCCATCTGCCTTAAGGTCCAGGTGCATACCAGCAGCTTATTTCCAGTTCCATGATATCTGCAACCTTCTAGGCACTGTGGTCCCAGTTACTAGGGACAGAGAGATCAAGCAGGGTACAGAGTTCATACTTGCAGTGCAGTAGTTTTCTCCACGGTTGTTAACCTTGCTTGTGGCTGCACCCAGTGTGCGCTTCATAATCTGTTCCAGAGAGTAGTAAGGGAGGGACCCCCTGCATTGGCCTTGGGCATCTCTAGCACTTCCAGAGTTTCTATGCCAGATGAATGAGAGACCAGAGTGTGCACAGACTCCTGGGCAAGGTTGTGTAGGAAACACTGGTCAGGACATAGTGTTCTGTGTCTTGGTTTCTCTCACAGAGTAGGGGGATGTGTTGTTCTCAACAGGTTTCCAGTCTCCTATTACAGCAGCAGTTGCCATTATATTGAGCTTGAATAAAGCTTGATAGAATGAAATATAAAATGCCCTTGGTTTCCTTCCTGTAGCTGGGGAGCATGACTTTGGTGTCCTCTCATCAGTGTTTTTTGTGCACTGGGATGGAAGAGCTGTGTGCTGATATTAGCTGCTGTTTGGCAGACTTGTGATAATCTGACTTTTAATGCTCTTTATTAATCTCAAGGGCTGCTGAGGAGTGACTCTATACCTGAGGTTGGAGAGGATGCTGCTGCCACAGTCAGTATGGCAGAAACACTCTCAGAAGAAGAACGGGATGAGCTAAGAAAAGAGCTTGCCAAGGTAATTCTTTTGCAAATAGCTCTTAAACTTGTTTTGATGATGAAAATCTGGAATAATGTTATCTTTAAACATACACTTAATGCTTTGCATAGTTATTCTCTGAGTGTCTAAAGCTGGCACTCCTGTATATTGCAGGTATATAGATATACAGATGGGAAGGAAGTGTGTCACGGAGAAAAGAACAGCCAGTTCTAGTGATGGGGAATTAAGCTGGAAGTGCTGAATACACAGATTTTAAATTAAGATACATAAATACCTAACCCATTTTTTTCCCCCTTGAGTGAGAAGGGGTTAAATCAGCAAAGAGAACATGGTTGGAAGCCAAAACCCAAATATTGTCTCAACTGGTGTGGAGTAGCTAAAGCTGTTTCCTTTATGAAGAATGCTTTGTAGTAGGATCTGGGTGGGCACTGTATTGCTAATGTCTAACCATGTTACTGTTCTTGTCCATAACAGAATATTTTTAAGGGTGAGAAAAAGTAGCATTCTTTGAAAAACAGACAGGCAAATATTCAGGCCTGATACATGCCAAAGTCAAGCTTTATTAAGCAGCCAGTCTTTTTTCTTTAATAGCTCTATGAGACTTCAGGACCCCTATGAAAGACACTAACTTAAGCCTAAGGTTAGCAAACAAAGTTAGCTTTAAATTAAGCACATTTAATACATTCTTGTATTTGTCAGTCCTGAGTATCATTTCATGCCAAAGATAGTGAGGGTGGGCTGGTCCTGCTAGGATATATAAGATATCCAAAACAGAGGTGCATTGAAGATACTGTTAGGAGCTGTACTCCTGTAAGGAGCTTAAATGAGTGGGCAGCCTGCTGCTCTAAACTGGGGTGATCTTGCCTGGATGAGGAAGTAGGATGGGAGAGATGCCCTTGCCTTTATACATATGGCCTTAGTGCCTCTGTCACTTCTGTAAAGCTCACAGAATGGCATTGTAGAACTGTGCTGACATCTCTGGTCATGTTTCCAGGCTTAAGTGACCATCTGAGTAAAGAAGGAAACACACACACAATATAGTTTTCTAGTTACAGAGCAGGTGCTGTGTTGTGTGATTGCTCAGACTTCCACCATTTCCACACCTGCTCTGGGGAAGGCACTCCTGTGGCTGAATCCAGTCTACAGATCCTGGCTTAAGCCACAGAAGGACCTTTCTGTTGAAGCAAGGAGACAAAATTTGTGTATGACAGACATGCTCTGAGCTTCCTGGTACTGGTCACACATTGGTATATCTTCTGACGTGGAAGCAGAATACAGGGTTGGCAGTGGTCCCAGGTTTGACTAATCTTCAACCTTTACATATCATAGGTACTAATTTCTAACTATGCAGTCTTTTAGTTACCAACTTCCTTGTACATATTCCAGTCACAGAGCTAGCTGCAGGTAGAGTACTTTCTCACTAGCTCTTGCAGTGTCTGTTAGTATTTAGGAATGACTGTGAGGCAATGTTAAAAACCTCTGTTAGCCCTCCCATTGCTGATGTCTGGTGGATGCTTTAAAGAAATACACAGTTAAATGGTTGAGTGTATTCCTTGTTAACTGTTAACCACTTGTTAACAACTCTGGTGCTGCAGGTGGAAGAGGAAATCCAGACGCTCTCACAAGTGCTAGCTGCCAAAGAGAAGCATCTAGCAGAAATCAAGAGAAAGCTGGGAATTAACTCACTACAGGAACTAAAGCAGAACATTACCAAAAGCTGGCAAGATGTTACATCAACCACGGCGTACGTACCAGCTCATGATGATTGTTTAGACTGCTGAAGTGAAAACTGTTTAGGTCTTGTGTCACGTCTAAACACTCTGTTCTTGTGAAATGAGTATATATAACACGAAGTTAAGTTGTATTAATATTTCTCTGGATAAATCAACAGACTTTTTAAAAAGAAGAACACTGCAAGCCATATCTCATGCTAAAGAAGAATGATTGACCAAAATATGGTCTGTTCTAACACACTTTGTTTTTGTCTGATACATCTGAGATACCAAGGTATCCTAAGTCCAACAGAATACCCTTGTTTTCTACCCTTAAAAATTGTTGTAAATTGAGCCCATGCAGGAAGAGTATGAAGTTACAGTTACTGTTCTTGCCAAACACAATTGTTAATTTACGGACTAGAGCAAGCTGCCTTCTGCAGTTAATAACCGCAGATTGTCACAAGATGTACCTCAAACTTTTTATGGTGAATTTTGTTGACAGAACTGTGTGGTACAAGAATAGACACTTGGCACAAAAAATAGACCTTTTGTTTTGTTTATTTGTGTTTTGTTTTCTCTTGTATTTTTTGGAGTTGTTTTTTTTTCTTGATTGGGATGTTTTATGGGATGTTTTATGTGTGAGTTTATTTTGTATTTTAATAAGTCCTATGATAGCAGATAGCATCTGTTCTAGGGGTGGGGTAGTAGGTGCGTGTCGGTGAACTGCGTCTGGTCAGAGCTGGCAGAGATGCTGTAGCCAGAAGAGACTGCAAAGGCTGAAAATAACATCTTAAGCAGGTTTTCCATATGACCCCAAAGCTGAAGTGTACCTCTGCATTTAATACAAATAGACACACACTAAAAGTTTCCTTATGTGTTCATTAAAAAAACCTAAAAACTAAATGCTTTTTTGAAAACAGATACAAGAGAACATCAGAAACCCTGTCTCAGGCTGGTCAGAAGGCTTCTGCTGCTTTTTCTTCTGTTGGTTCAGTCATAACCAAGAAATTTGAAGATGTCAGGTAGGTTTATTTACCTTTTCCCAAGTAATTGCATTTTTTATTTAAGCAATTATCACTGCAATAAATTTATGCTGCTAACATACCTAGTGCTTCTAAAAGCTAATCTATCCAGAGCCTTCAGCAACTGTTCTAGGGGAGGTAAGAGACTTGCTGCAGAATCTGCTTGTATGTCCTCACTGGTGCTGAGGAGTTGTGTGGTGTGTGTTTTGTGTAGGCAAGAGAAGCAATGTGTGCTGCCGCCTCCACTGCTCTTACTTTTCTGGTGTGATTGCAGGTGGCACTGTCTGCCTGCCTCTGCGGGGTACACGTAGCACTGTCATTCCTGCTCTCTTTCTCAGCTTGTGGAATATGACATTTAAACAACTAATGTCTTTCACTGTTTATGTTTTGTCGTTTTCCTCTTTTTTTGTTGTTTTTGTTTGGGGTTTTGTTTGTTTGTTTTTGTTTTGTGTGTCAATTCCTTCCAAGTCTCTTTTATTTCTGTCTAAGCTGTTCTGCCTCATAGAAGTGGCTTGATTTTATTACATTTTTTAAGAGACTGTTGGCACTTTTTAATTCTTAAATATTGTTGGCATGCAATATTTTGACTTTGTGCCAAATGACACAGCCCTACATACACATTAGGTAAGTCTGCCAAGTAATTTTTAGAACTATTTTGAGCTGCTTGCAAAAATCCTGCTGGATGCAGTACAATCAGATGCTTGGCTGACAATTCCTGGATTATGTAATTCTTAGTACTGGAAGCTATACAATTATTCATCTCCACAGGTAATTTGTTGTTGTTAAACTTATTTTTCAGTTATTGGGCAAATAGAAATTCACACATTCTCACAGAATATTGCTGCTTTGGCAGCAGTGTAATAAAATCAGCCATTTTAAAGTGCTGCCATTAACTTCTTGCTTTATGGAGTCTAGTGAGAAAATGCTTTGAGTACAACTACACAGTTACAGATTTTTCTTCATATTTATCAGAAGTTCATTTCTCTCTTTACTGCTTACTCTGGCATTGTGCAGACTACAGGCATTTTCACATTCCTTTAGGTAAGGTGGACACAAGAATTGCTTCTCAAACTAAGCATGTAGTCAGACTGTCTCCATTACAGTTTTTCATTTAAGTTTTCTCTGTAAAAGGTAATTTCTTCTTTTCTTCAGTGTTAGTAAGGGTAAAACTGAAGCCCTTTTAATGTCAGGGAAGATGTTTCTTCATGTTCACCTGGTAACTATCTCAAAACATGAAAACTTGAGTATACCTAATAATTAATAAGTCTCTCTTCCTTGTTAGAAAAATAAACCCACTAAAATGATGCTGCAAGGTTTTTTATCAGGAGACAGAATATGGTGTTGAGGTCAATGGCATGCAGGATTCCTCCTTCTTTGTCTGTACAGTGTTTGTGCCATGGCAGAACAGAGATTTCCCCCTTTTTGTGTCTATTACAATGGCTGTTTAGCATTGTGATTCTGACTAAATAACTAGAGTCTAAATGTAAAATAGTTTATACATTCTTTGTTCATAGTTTGTCCAGTGAAACAATCCTTGAGTTGATTACTTTAGCAATGCCAGTATCTTAGTTACTTCATCTACATTACCTTTGATCTAAGCAAATACTCAGTGTTTTCAGCAGTTAAAATTCCTGTGTAAGAGCTTCTGTCCATTGCCTCTCAGCCCATCTATCTGAGCCTGACTTAATCTTTTCTGTACTCCACCACTAAGGAGCTAAAAAGAGCAGTAGGATCTCTATAAAGATGTTGGGATTTGGCTCCTGGAGTACTAACTGGGAGCTGTTGTCCCAGGGGAGGAGATGGGCAGGGGCACAGGATGCTATGAGAACTCAGACTCTGACGTGAGCTCAGTTTGATCAGGTATAAGAATAGCAGCCAGTCTGAAATATGTCCTGTTCAGCATCAGTGAGAACTTGGAAGAATTTTCTGTTCCTTTTGTATGCAGAGCTCAGCTGCTCATTTAACAGGAGTCACATTTCTACCTTAAGGCTGTGGTGTTCCCCAATTAGTATTGGACTATTTCACTGGACAAAGACAAGCACAGACTCAGATCTGTTGTCTACTTCAGGAATACCTTAGGAGTGTCTTAATTACTCCAGTTAGAGGCTCTGTGAGTGTTGAGTACTCTATCAGAAACTGTGCCCCTGGGAGAGAATGTAACAGTATCAGAGAAGTCTGCACTGTTGGTGTGCTTCTCAGGGAGAATCGTGGTGGTGGTGGAAATGCAAGGTATTGATATAAATTCAGGGGTAGCTGTGTTTAGAAAACAAAACAAAAGTGTGAAGAATTAGTGCTGCTAAAGATCTTAGTTGCACTTGAAACAAAATATTAAAGATGTTTTTCATGAGAACCAAATTCATCTGAATTCAGGTCTGAGGGTTATATAACTGCTTAAGGGCAAGTCTGAGCTTCAGAAAAGTTTAGATGCCTCAATTCTTTCCTGGAAGTGACAGTTTATGGGCTGATACTTGAACTTGTACTGAATATGCGGGTTCATTTTTGTTCTTAAACTCTTGCATTGGCTTCATTGAGGCTTCACTTTCCCTTGTATTGTTTTGGTTGAGGGACTTCTCAGCTACAGTGGTGTGATTTCTTCCCTGTTGGACTATTTCATGGACATATTCCATGCAGCAAACATCACACACAGATCTTGATTTGGGCACTGCAAAGTGATGTAATAGGGAGTTGCAAAAGGGAGTGAGGCAGCTGCTGGAGCTGTGATTTTGGAAACTACTGAAATGGAGAGGAAGGGGGACTGGTAGTGCAATGTCAGTGCATTTTTGCTTCCTTTTTGTATTTGTTTTCTCTGCCCTTTGTTATGATGAAAACGATCTCTGTTCCATCTTAGGTTTTTCTTAATACCTTTATTCTCTTTATAAGAATTTATTGAAGTTTTGATAAGCTAACTTTCCTTCTGTAGGCAACAGTATTCTGTGCAAAGTAGCAGTATCAAGATGTAGCTTCTGAGCAGTCATGACTTTGCACTTGGCCCTTCTTGCACTGCATCCCTATAATGGAGCAAAGTCCACCTTTGCCTTGCTCTGAGATTACAGAATAACTTTCTTTGCTTGCTTTAGAAGTCTGATCTCTGATCATGGATTCCTAAATACCACAACATATCAGCTGGAAATTTAACTACAAAGTAACTGGCTACTGTGTATGTTGAGCTGTGTTTTCTAGGCTGGGACTCTGGCATACCTCCTTGTGCCTTTTCAAAATGTGAGGCAATGGAGTAGCTTTAAAAAAATGATTGTGTAGAGGATAAGAAAGCTTTAATACAATACAAAATGCATGGAAGACTGGAGAGCAGCTTACTGTGCCTTTTTTATTTATTGTCTTTTTTTAAGCTAGGTGTTTGCTTTTGAGCATTGCAAAGAGGGCTTGTCTTTCAAACTGCCTGAGTTGATGACCTAGTTGAGTGAGTGCTTTAGTGTGGCATTCTGTGACTTGGGAAAGAAATACAAGTTCTCTTCATAAAGATGTTCAAGGCTTAATTGTGCCTCTTGCATTACCTGAAGAATAGGTGGTTTATGTTAAAAAAATCAACTGCATTTATCTAATTCAGTTCTCCTGCAAACCAGATCATGGTATGATAAAACTATGTAATATCTTGTGGTGTTTTTTTGCAAACTGAGTACTGAGGGTATACAGAAGTGCATTGTCCAGCAGCAAGTAAATTCTTCATGAATACATGAATAGTTCTTCTATTAAATGATATCTGAGATGAAACTAAACTTTTGTAGACACCTGTTAGAACATCTGTGATACACTACAGGTTGTTGTTTTTCAGTATGAGCAGTTCTACAGTTTGTAAATACATGTATTTAATCCTCTTTAGCCTTAAACTTCTTGCAGAGAGAAACTTCTTGCAGCATGAGGGGAATTGGCTGAGCATTGACTGAAACTAGTTAGTGTCAGTGTAGCTCTGTAAGAAAACCTGCCATGTAGCAAGCCCAGAACTTGTAGTAATCCACATCACAGTGAAGGATATATATCACAGTCCAGGAGACAGTCAGCTTGTCTGTGATCTGGAAAAGCCTGTGGAAGCCAGGCCATCCATAAGAATGAAACACAGGAGAAATGGACTTGGGTAAATAGATGAAACAGAGCTGTGCATTAGTGAAGTGTCAGGAAAGCATCTGGCCTTGTGTATCTGATTCCCAGTACACTGTAACTACAGATCAAACCATAGTTGTGCATCTGCCTTAAGGGATCCCAGCCTTTTTTCTATCATGGTATTTTACTAATGAGCCCTCATAAAGGATCTCTTAAAACCTTTTCTGCAATAAACGTAGAACATTTTTTTCTTCTGTGAATGTATCTTCCGGTGATTGTGCTGAGATGCTAATTGTAAGTTTGGAGGTACATTTTATGAGAGTTGTTTCCCTTACCTCCTCTTCTTCCCCAACAACTGCCTGGAAAATATTCTCTTGAAAGGCATCATAAAGCCCAGAAAATTTTGACATTGCATATATAGTTATGAAAACTTAAGATCATCACTTGTAATAACTCTCAGTTACTGTTGTGGTATTTGGTAAGAATTATTTAACATATAAGGCTTGTTTGTACCTGCAGTAAACAGGGATTTCCTGTATGGAACTAAATTAGGTGTGTGGTAGTGGTGTTGAAGCTGTGCAGGAGCTTCTTCATCTATATCCTATTACCTTCTAGAAGTAGATGTGTTTTCTTGCTGGACAAACAGTAACTTTATAGCAACACTGGCAGGTTATAGAAATCCTCCATGAATTTCAGAACACAGGACTTTATCCTGCTCCCAGCATAAATCCAACCTTGAATACTGACTGATGTGACTGCTTTTGTTGATTGATGAGTAGGTAATTTGTATTGATGAGTGTAAAAAACTTTACTGAATGTAAATGGAAGCCTTCTGGATGTAGAGATAATTTTTTAGTAGGAAGATTAGCTGATTTATAAGACTCTCAAGTGTTTGCTACTCACTATTGCCAAAACTGTAAATGCAGCATGATTCCTGTTGCTTGAGAAACTTAAGGAGCAGACAGACTGTTGCAGCTAAGCAGAACAAATACTAACAAGCATGGCACTTGAATCTTTCTAAAAGAGGAAAAGGTTGCTGCAGCTTTTGCTCTGATGTACTTGTGTGTGTGTGTGTGTGTGCATGGCTAAGCAATTTAAGAGAGCAAACCCAAGCAGTTACTAAGACTGTGTAAGACTGTTTGGCTGTTTACCAAAGACAGTTTACAGAAGTCAGCTCTCTAAGCCAATTTCTTCTCAATGTAATCCTTAAACTAACTTTTTGCTTTTTTTTCTCTTAATGCTGGCATGTAGTATACGCTCCATACAACATTCAATTAGTATGCCTATTATGAGGTAATGTATGCATAATCCAGCTCTTTGGTTTATTTATTTTCACGTGTGGAATCAAGTCACATTGAACTTAAGTCAACTAACATAGTTTTATAAAAAAGCAAAAAACCCACCCAGCTTTGTAATGGATTTCCTGCACTAACATATGGGGTAAAATTTGTTTTATTTCTGGTTAACAGAGGTGGTTATCAAACATCTGGAAAGTGACATTTCCCTACTGTTAGGTGTAAAACTATAACAGCTTTTCCCTCTTTGTTAGGTGTAATGTTACTAAGTGATTCCAAGTTTTAAAGGCAGTAGCTTGGCATATATTTTTGAAAATGAAAGTGAGTAAAAAAACCCCTGTGGTTTCACAAGAAGTCTCTTGGTGATCTGGGGTGCTTGCCTTTTCTCTCCACTTGCTTGGCACTGTGTCCCTCTGAGAGTCTGGTTTGACACAAGTGTCACTGTGTGCTCTCCCAAGGGAAGAGAGTGCAGCTGAGTGTGGCTGACCCACACAAATGCCAAGCAAAGCAAGAAGAGAAGCTGTAGGCTTCTTCTGAAAAACACCCTTGTCTGCAATATTTATATAATACATTTTTGAGTAATCCTTAGTCCTGGTCCAATGAAGGCAAGCATTTTCCATCCTACATAAAGGCAGAAAAAGTGTTGCACAGATTTGCATGTAGCAGTGACAGCTACTTGGAGCATTAAGCCACTTTTCTGACCCTAATGAATTATACACCGGCCCTCAGCACTGGAAATCCCAAGCTGTCCTGCTTTTTGTATGCAGAACTTATTATTTACAAGTACAGCTGCCTTTGGCACTTAAAGGCAAGGGGGAGTCTCACTTAAATGTAATATGTTAGCAGAAAATGCCACTGTGAACCATGTTTTATTTATTGAACATGTAGCAAAGTAAACTGAACTGGTTTTCCTGTAAAAAGTAAAAAAAACTGATGAGCTCTCTTCAGCAATAATGTATTAGGCTAACTAGAAGTGATGACTAAGATTTTCTGAACAAATGCTTTAAGCCAGAAACATGTTTGAAAAGACTGGGAATAATATGCTAAACCTAAAATACTTGCTAGTTCTCCCTGCCATGTTGATAGGAAGGATCCTATTATGTAAACTATTTTTAGGGTATCTTTAAAACAGGGAAAGAGCCCCAAACAAATCTCTTGTTACTGTTGGGAAAAAGGAACTGTCTGCTTGGTTTGTGATGTTTATAGGTTAACTAGATGGGGTTTTAATTCTGTGGATCCTTTTTTTTATTTTTGTAGAAATTCTCCTACTTTCAAATCCTTTGAGGAGAAAGTTGAAAACTTCAAGGTAAGAATTTCTAAAACATGTTCTAGATTGTGCAGCTGTGGATGTGGAGAAAAGACTCAAGTCCTTTTGGGCAGCCTATTTTTTAGTTATGGTAAACTGTTGAAGAGGTGCTTGGATGAACATATTTTTAAGTCCTGTTGAAACAGTTTCTCTGCCAAATGATTTGGAAATAAAGTAATGGGCTGCCTGCACCTCATACAGGAGGATGCCTTTAGAAGAGCTAACAGCCAGCTGACCTGCACAAACAGCTAGTATTAGGTATGCAAAATAATTAATACCTAATGCTAGCTATCCAGAATTGTCTAGGCTTTTATTTCAGGCCTTTCTAGGGACTAGTATCCTACACAGGAGAATACCTTGGGATTCATCTCTCACTTCTGGCATAAAAGACAAAAGGCCTTTGCACCTTAATTTTAACTTCACTCCTGAAAGCCTCAAGTATCAGAAACAATAATTAATAACTTCTCCAGGTAAAAACTCACTTCAAAAATAACTAATTTGTGTAATCAGAACCAGATTTGACTTCTCCTTGGCACACTGGGGTGAATGAGAAGCATGCAAGTGATAGCAAGGGGAACTGGGCCTTCTTTTCTTGCAACTAATTGACATTAACACCCCTGCAGTCCCACAGAGCGTATGGGCAGAGGGAAGTCAAAAGGCAGACACGTTACATGGAGAAAGTAACATAGTTGCTCTGCTCCCCTGAAGAGCTCAGGACTTGGTCTTGAGACTCAAAACTGTCCAAAGTTCTTTCTTGAGAAATAAAGTAGCGAGTTTTAACTCTGAATCTCTTAAAGACTTCTCGGTTTGAAAGGCTTCATACCTTTATCCACTTGAAACTGAGGTCGTATCAACCTTTGGACTCTGGAATCAGCCCTGGAATAAGGGCTGCTTCGTGTATCTCAAAGTCAAAGGGAGATTACTGTGTTAATCTGCTGGTGAGTGTTTCCTGCCAGATATGTACAGATTTGTTTCAAGAATATTGTGGAGGTCTCCTAGACCTGGAAAAGCTGCTTTGTTGAAGAGAGTTATCAAACCAGACATACAGGTTTTGTACAGTTAAGCATGTTTGGCATGCCAGCTAACTACTGTGCTTTGTTGGGGCTCTCTCTGTGTTCTAGTCTAAAGTTGGAGGAAGCAAACCTGCTGGAGGAGACTTTGGGGAAGTTCTCAACTCTGCTGCCAATGCCAGTGCCACAGAAACTATTGCAGAACAGACAGAGGAGGAGACCCACTGAGATTTCTGCTTCTGTCCTGCTACCCACTGCCAGATGCTGCAAGGAAGACCAAGCACACTTGTAACATTCTCTGCGCTCCTTCCACCAGATGTGCTTTTATTTGGCACGTAGTTATTTTACCCGATTAACTGATACCAAGCTTGTGTGTGGGTTCAAAATATTTTTGAAGCTAAAATACATTGTTTGGGATTTTGTGTGGGAAGGGGAATTTCTATGCCTTTCAAGCATTTAAAGGACTTACCTGTAATTTGAAGACAACCTTTAAAATATAGCAATGAAAAAAACCTCTTTTGAGAAGTTAATTATATTGTACAGATACTGTGGATACGTATTTTCTTTTCAATCTGTAATTACTGCTCAACTTATGAATTACTGCTCAATCCTTATGAATCTACTGCTGCTGCCAAACTGAAGCTTGTTACTTCGCTCCCTTGTGATTGTTTCAGTTGAGTGTTGCCTGCAGGGGACACTGGACAGGAGGCTGGACAAGGAGGAAGGATCACCCCCAGCTACAGAAAGGACTTCAGTTTCAGCAGGCTTTACACAAGCTATAGCAGGATCACACATGAGTAGGAATGTTCTGTCTTTTGAGCGTGTTCCTCATCCAGCAGGTGTGGAAAGGTGATAGAACATGTAAAACTTACCCATCTGTCCGTGCACTGTCCACCTCAGAAACTTCTGACCAATGCAGATGGAAGCAGGATGCTTCACAGTGCTGGTTTGGTTCAGTCACCATAGCATTTTCAGGCTTGTTTCTTGTACAGGATGTCACTGTGGTAAGATAACACTCTTATGAACATTGGAACCAGTCACAAATAGATTCATTCACACGTGGTGGTGTCATATTCACACTAACACAGCATGGACTAGAAGAATAAGCCTGACCCCAGAAGTGGTTCTTTTGTAGTCATCAGGAGAATTGCTCCTATAGCCTAATGTTTCTCTTGTAGGCTGAGCCCTGAAAACATCTGCTACACCATCTTACTCTTTTTAAATGTATTTAAGCCAACACCCCTGTTGCCAGCCCCAGAAGTCTGTTTGGAGAGGTGCACAGTGTCACTGCTCAGTGTAGCTCTCCTAAAAGATGTGTCCTCCTGCATCTTGTTTTGTCTGCTGTACTCCTCAAATTTCTTGTGTTTTATGTGTTTCTGCCACATGGTTAGAACATTTTATCACCCTGCTTAAAACTGGAAACAAGTTTTGCTACATTTGTGTGAAATCCATGAAACTTCAACTGCCACAGGTGTCTGGAGGAAAAAAAGTTGGCTCCTGACAACCTTGCTAGCATGTCAGATGTAGAATGTGTGCTTAATTACAATGTGAGAAGCTTAATAAAAGTGTATGTGAGGAATGTATTGTCCTGTGAACATGGAGGATAATGTAAATAAGTAAGGAGATTTCATTTCTATTTGAAGCAGTCCTTTAAGTTTGGTTCAGAGCAGTGCTGGTACATACTGCTGTACTGCTTTGGGCACTCTGCATGGCTGAGCTTGGCATTTCTAGAGAACACTGAGCCTAGGTTGCCTTCTAGTGGCTTACATAAAATTACAAATCACAGCATTGTTAGGGTTGTAAGGGACCTCTGGAGTTCATCTAGCCCAAACTCCCTGTTCAGGGAGGCTCACCTCTGGAGCAGGTTGTACAAGACTGTGTCCAGGTGGGTTTGGAATGTCTCCGGAGAGTGGGAATCCAGGACCTTCTTCAGCAGCCTGTTCCAGTGCTCTGCCACTATATAAAATTAAATTGCCCTGGTTACATAGTGAAGTTCAGAAAACAGGTTGACATGTTCCCTCAGCCTCCAACAGCTGCAACTTAACAAAGGAACAGAGAATTGAATGGTTAGAGAGAACGGAGCTCTTCCTCTTTTGGGTCAGTACCATGTAGGGCAGGTTCTTCTGGAATATGATCCTTATTGGATGGGTCTTTTATTTATTTATCTAACTGACAAGGAGAAAGGTCATCTATTCCAGAGTTGAGCTTTCTGTTTTCTGAAGGAAAGCTTTTTTTTTTTTTTAAGGCCACACTCCAGGAGCTTTTGCTGCATCTCCCTCTGCCCACAGCTTCCTTTCCTCGTGTGCAGGTGGCTTTGGGGCTGCTGTGAGTGCTGAAGCTTTGCTTTCAGGGCTGGTGTAGTAATCACAGAATGAATTAGGCTGGAAAACACCTCTGAGAGCAGGGAGTCCAGCCTATGAGCAAACATCATCTTGTCAGCCAGACCAGGGCACTAAGTGGGGCTCCAGAGGGGACGGCAGAAGGTTGTGCCAGGGAATGCTCAGGCTGGCTATTACAAGAAGGTTTTTCCCGCAGAGGGTGTTTGGGCACTGAACAGGCTCCCCAGGGAAGTGGTCACACCAAGCTTGACAGAATTCAGGAACTGTTTGGACAATGCTCTCAGGCCCATGGTGTGACTCTTGGGGTGTCCTGTGCAGGACCAGGTGTTGAACTCTATGATCCTTGTGGGTCCCGTCCAACTCAGGTTATTCTATGACGTGCCGCGTCCAGTCGTTCCTTAAACCCCTCCAGGAACGGTCACCTCAGCCCCTCCCTGGGCACTGCAATAAGTGCTTAACTTTTCCGTGAAGAAGCTCCTCAGGTGTCGAGCCCGCCCGTTCCCTGGCGCGGCTTCAGCTCCGCTGCAGCCGCCGGGGGGCAGCGCGGCGCCGCCGTCCCGCACCCAAGATGGCGCCGCCCGCCTCAGCCCTGCGCGCTGCGCTTGCGCCCGAGGCAGCGGCCCCGGCCCCGGTCAGTGATGGCGGCGGCGCTGTGGGGCCGCGCGGCCCGGCCATGGCGGGCGCTGCCGCCCGCGGTCCGCAGGGCCAGCGGCGCCGCGCCGGCAGCCGCCGAGACTCCCCCGCAGCGAACGGAGCAGCGCCCGGGCGGCGGCACCGCGGGCTCCGCTCCCCGGCAGGTGAGGGCGCGAGGGGATCGAGCCGGGGCAGCGTCCTCGGCCCTAACGCGGCCGCATCTGCAGCGCTGTGCCCGCTTCTGGTCTCGGCGGTACAAAAGAGACGAGGCGCTGCCGGAGAGGGAGCAGCGGAGGGCCAAAAAAACATGAGGAGGGGTCTGGAGCATCTCTTTAGGAGGGGAGGCTGCGGGAGCTGGGCCTGTTCAGTCTGGAGAAGACAAGACTGAGAGGGAAGCTCATCAATGAGTATAAATACCTCAAAGGCAGGTGCCAGCAAGATGGTACCAGAGTGTTTTCAGTGGTGCCCAGTGACACCACTAGGGTAGGGAGCAGTGGCTATAAACTAAAGTACAAGGAGTTTCATCTCAACACGAGGAAGAACTTTTTTTGCAGTGATGGGGGCAGAGCACTGGACCGGGCTGCCCGGGGAGGTTGTGTAGTCTCCCTCTCTGGAGACTCTCAAAACCCAGAAACCCTCACACTCCAGTGTCACCTGCTCCAGGGGACCCTGCCCTTCCAGGAGGGCTGGCCTGGATGTTGTCCAGATGTCTTTTCTGACCCTAAAATCTGTGATTCTCTCTTCTCACCACTTCACCCTGCATGATAAGTAGCCTGCAGAAACGTGGACAGCTCATATTTCTTTTGAAGATGTTCCTACAAAAATGTGATGTAGAAAGCACACAAGCAGTTTTGGTTGTGTAGAATGCAAGGTACTGCTGCATGGGCAAAGCTGTGTTCAGGCTTTTTACAAGCTGGCAGAGAGGATGTGGAAAATCTCTTAATGATTTTATTGGGTCAGATCAAAGACCTGTTAAACCAGTATTCCAGGGACTTTTAGTGGAAATATAAAGGCTTTTATGAATGAAACACCTGTAGAATTGTATGTGTGTGAAGCCAGCATAAGAAACATCAGGACAAGGATTGAAAGGATGCTGGATGTTATTGTGGAAACCCACAGCTCTCTGGGAAGCTGTCCTTGGCTGTAAAATTAGGATGGTGTGCTTGGCAAGGCCTGCACTCAGGTGAGCTGAAGGATGAATGATTCATCAGGAGCAGACCCTGCTCCTGAAGTGCACAAGGAGGGTCACAGGATTGTGTCCCATATCTTACATGCCATGTGTTTTCCTGTGACTCCACCATGAACCAGTCATGGAGAGGGAGATGATGAACAGCAGTCTCCTATTTATTGAGGCTGCAGTAAGTAGAATTCTGGAGCAAAGGACCACCCCATCAACAGCTGTTGACTCCTGAAGGGTGTAAAAGATTTGTCCAAAACTTCGTTCACCATTGCCAAACCAGGAATTCCACCAGGAATAATGTCAGAGGTGTGGTGAGGCCTTGATAGCTGGCACCCTTCATCCTCGGTGTTGTACCCAAATGGGTTTTCCCCAGGTGCTTGTTGGGAATCCAGGGATATGGGAATGTGAGTGGATGGAACTTGGGAGAGAGGGAGTGGTAAAATAAATGTAGAGATTTTGTGAATAACCATCACTTTCTCTAGCAGTGCATTGAGTTTTGTCATGCTGGTTTTTCCCACAGATTGTGACAGTGCCCATTAGCAGCAGACAGGTAGGGAAACAGAAGACAGCTCTGTGTGTGTACTGACATATTCCAGAATATCTCTTCCAAACTGGAAACCCCTGACCTCTGCTTATTCCTCAGGTGAAAGTGATTCCATGCTGGTGTTAATCCTTGACAGTCATCTTTCTGTAACTTTTTTCAGTTCTATTTGACTATACCTGTATCTGAGATTACTTGAAATGTGCTCAGTAGGATATGGAGATTAAGGCTGTGAATTATTGTGCCAGGACTTGTTTGTTATTGCAGGTGTAGAACTGCAAATGCCTATCACTGAATCCAAGACCTGATATCCCAAATTATTATATAATGTATAACATCCTGTTTTCCATTGAAGGCTGGCTGTGCTAAGATCAAAGGTTTGCCTAACCCTGGGGCTCACATGGTGTCCAAGGAGATGTCCACAGAAGAGTTTAGGAGCAGAATCACTTGATGTAGCTGAATGCTACTTTGGGGATTTAATTTTTTTCCTTTTTTGTTTTTCTGTTGAAGTGAGTAGCTGGAAACATTATTTTCTATCTACATAATCTCTTTATATCTGTAAATGAATTGTTATCAAGCCTTTAAAGCTTCTTAACTAACTCAAATGTTACATTTGATTCACAACATGTGAATTGCATACACAAATACAAATAATACATTAGTAGAAGTCAAAGTTGAGTTTTTAAAATGAATATCTGGTCCACAACTCTGAATTTCTGTACCCTTTGCTGAGCTACTTTTTCACTTGCACCAGAGGAAGGAAAGTAGCTTGCTTTGCAGTGCCTAGTGATGTTGAAAGCATAATAATGAGGTGAAGATTATCATGAGTCTACTTTCATGCTGTTCTCAGCCCAGGTAATGCTCAGTGAGACTGAGTGTGATGAATGTTTATTC